TACTTAATAATGTATTATTGTTACATCTACAGGATATTGATATATGGATACTTAATAATGTATTATTGTTACATCTACAGGATATTGATGTATGGATACTTAATAATGTATTATTGTTACATCTACAGGCTATTGATGTATGGATACTTAATAATGTATTATTGTTACATCTACAGGATATTGATATATGGATACTTAATAATGTATTAATGTTACATTTACAGGATATAGATATATGGATACTTAATAATGTATTATTGTTACATGATATTGATATATAGATACTTAATAATGTATTGTTACATCTACAGGCTATTGATGTATGGATACTGGTTTGCTCTTTGTTTGTATTTGCGGCATTATTGGAGTTCGCCGTCGCAAGCTACGTCGCTATACATTTCAATAAGTCATATTCGACGTCTCGTTCTTGTCACAATCGTGCTAAGTCATCGGCTGAACAAGTATCAGTCATGGTACCTATGATATTTACACTTTATTATGTTTATCGTGTATTGAATTTGTTTGATGGGATTAATACTGTGCATCGTTTCATGAAATGCATGGACAGACGATGTGTTGGTTTTTGATCAGATATCGTGTTATGCTGTTATCGTAAGAACATTTTGTTCGTCACTATCTTTTGTTGGATATTACTTCCACCTGACAGTGTTTGTGTATATGCGAACATATCAACAACAGAAAACAATTTGCTTGAAATTATATCTTGTTTAAACGACATTACGCGCTCATTGACGAATTATATCAATACTTTCCATATTTGACGCTGTGGTTTAATCAGAAATAACATATTTACGTAATTGTTCAGAGATTCCTCTTCCGATGAGTACGGCATAGTGATAAACATATGTGATTTATTAAAAAAATATCATGCTTGGAATATTTAGGGATACTAACCAGGTTCACTTAATCTCAATTTATATTTAACGTACAATACCACGATTGCGGTTGGGTATATCATGAAATATTTCATAATAAGCACGATCAACATTTAGTTTCTCGGTAACAGTATACGTTGATATATGTAATGTCGTAAACACACAGACGCCTGTTAACACCTTGTGCCCGATTGTGTTTTGGTTATTGGCAAAACTTCCCGTTCCAAGAATAAAAATTATTTTTCTCATGCTTCACATTTGAAACCAAATGTTATTCCAAAGGGCAAGATATTATCATTGTAGATTTCATTTTACTTAGGATTTGGCGCTATTAAGTGTTATTTATGTTTGGAGCCTACTTAAAAGGCGTGGTATGTAGTCTTGTTAAACCACGACGAGCAAAATTAATTAACCCCCCCCCCTAATCATAACGTATTCGGGCTATTGAATAGCTGCTATAACACAATAGTGACTTCAAGGAAACTTGTTGTTTTTCAATAAATGTTAACATTCTTCGTTACGTTAAGAATGTTTGAATTTTTCCAAACCCAATAGACCTACGCAAACCATACAATATATATTTACTGACTGCGTGTCTGGCTTTTATCTTGTGAAACTTTGCTTTCTTGCAGTTAGTGTTCAAAGTGGTTCAAAAATTACAAAATAAATTACCACTATTCTCTTATTCTGATTCCGTTAATTCTCCCCGTAACATGCGATGCTATGTTAATAGTGTGATATGCAACGCACCAATTGATTACTGCGAAACATCAATTATTGTACACATAGTGCCAACACAGTAAGGTATAACATTAGTATATAATTTGCATAAACGTTATTTCTGACATCGCTCATGGGAGGAGATCATTATAATATTTGCACAAACATGCATACCCTACCTTGTTGACATCATTTCTTGTATTAAATATTTGTATTTTCTCTCAATAATTAATTTGAAATGAATTGACTTTAAAACGTAGAGGAACTAATATAACATAATACGTCTTTTAAAATCGCCTGCCAATGAACTAACTAATTGAACAAATACAACTATAACCAAATATGTTTACTTTTTCAGGCCACATTGTCATCATCAGATATGGAGGAAGGCAAAGCATCGTTGACCCGCCGCAGTTTCAGATCATCTAAAACCGGTTCAAGCAATTGTACAGCAACACTTATTGACAACTGCTCCAGAGTGTTATTCCCAGTTAGTTTCATACTATTCAATGTTGTGTATTGGCTCAAGTATGGATTAGTGTTGTAACACATTTCTAAAATTGCCTCAATATTTTCAACCAAGGTTTTGGAAGATGACAGTACAATTATTGTTACACTATTATGAACGGTTTGGTTTATGTATACATTTGACAACGCAAATTGACATATCAACATCGCATTCCGATCATGAAAATATGGAATGTCCGAACAATGTCTGTCGTTATGTTTACTTATCTGACTTGATTGCTTTAATTCTGCATTTTATTGATTTTACTGTTAATTTATATAATTATATATAACGATATATCCATATTATTATTTCGTTTTAACTAATAATTATATATTAACTATGACATTCCTTAACATATTACAATTATTACTCTGATGTGAAACACTTGTGTGTGTGTTATTCACTTCACAATCGTGAACCATGGACGTACATTAAATAATCGTAACTCAAACCAGGCATATAGTATATGTGAACACCAACATATTGTTCAAATGTCAACAATATGCAAAGTCAACACGTTTGTGTGTAACACATTTGTAGGTAATACTCTTTCTGAATTAAGTGTTGGATTTAATAAATTTATGTTTGCAAGTTGTTGTGTGATGATTATTTTTACGACAAATATATAATGGCGTGGATGGCGCTATTACTTTTATTTACACACCCGTGAAATTGTGGTCAGACGGTATTCAATAAAATGCAGAATTAAATTGTGGTCAGACGGTATTTTGACCCATTGATTGATTGATTCAACTTTTGTACAGATATCACAATAGTATACTAGTTTCAGATTTGTGTGATGATTATTTTTACGACAAATATATAATGGCGTGGATGGCGCTATTACTTTTATTTACACACCCGTGAAATTGTGGTCAGACAGTATTTTGACCCAGCGGTTAATCCACTGAAATATAACTAAGCGGCTTCTATTATACAACAGTTATTCTTTGGAACCTTGGATGAAAGAAATTTCCAAGCTGGAAATTTATTATTTTAAGGTTATAGGTTATTGAGGTGACAACTTGAATAACATCATTTGCTGTTTGTTATGTCAACGGAAGTATTTTGGATTAGTTTAATGTTATTATAATGAGTCTTTACAATGCGATTTGCTAATATAACAATAGTGGAAATAATTGAATGGGGAAGTGGATCTGTCCATAAGAAGATAGAGACTGAGTTTATCTTTTATGTGGGAGGCTTGACCATAAGGGCGAGAGAGGAGATGTTCATGAGAATTTACATGGCAAGAGCAACTCATAAAAGATGCGATATCAGAAAGATGTAACATCAGCACTCATCTGCTACATGGAATCGCCGTTCGGAAGCTAAGCTACTTTTGCCACATAGCACGACACGTTAGCTGTGATGAAATTGTTTACGCGTATCTGTTAATCGACTTAATTAGCTGATTACTAACGAATGGCTGTGTTATGTCTGTCATTGTTTCGGCCCATTTGAGGTTCTGGACGGAACTCGACTCAGTGATTTGGAACTAATTACGAGATAACCGTCGCTAATCGGACTACTATTTCTGACAGTTAGTATTTGCAGTTATTAATGTAGTAAACGATTAATCAAAAGATATGACGTGTTCAGTACTTAGTGTGATTGGCTTTATGAATGAAGGTTACGCCTTAGAGTCTTTTAACTGCTTTGTAATTGGTTAAGGTTTTGAAAATGAATAAAGTTGTTTTAGTTGGTCTTGGCGAGTACACCAGGACAGACGAGTCCAGTCCTGGAGAGTCTTGGGGCGAGTCTTGACGCAGTCTAGAGGCAGTCTTGGGTCAGCCTTGCGATAGTCTTGGGGACTTTTCCCCAGGGCGCTGTGTCTTATATAGTGCTCGACTGACCGACTAAGACAATAGTTGAAACGTATTTCGTTGTGTGTGTCTTATTTGACTGTAAAGTTTAAGTGACTTTCCCGGTCCCGTACCTCAAGGGGACGCGATAGAGAAAAGAGACGAGATTCCCCCTGGCACGTGTGGAGAACCTCAGAAGAGAAGAATTTCCCCCTTGATATAGCCTTGAAAAATATGGATTCGACTCTCGATGTTCTGATACTCCAATGATGGACGTGTTTGATAACGCGAGAAGTTGACATTAGCATGGCTTTATACTCCAATTAGTTGGATCAGGAATATGTATAATAATGTTATAACAAAGATATGAATGGCTAACAAATATAAGCATAACTTAAGTTGGTGATAAACTGATCGGTGAGTGTATAGCGCCACCGCATGACATATAATGGTAATTTTGAGTTTCCACCGTTTGAACTGCATTGAGTTGCGTTTTGTGTTGTTATATTTTTTGGTTTTGGCATTTAATTAAACTATTTGTTACGATGCAATGCACTGATAAGTGGTCTGGTAACCGTAAAATAGATACAATTCGGGATGAGTATTCGCACATTGACATTCAATATGCCTCGCATGGAGCCTTGAGCAGCCACTAGTGGCGCTGTTTACAATTAAAACCTATTTAGGTCAGTCTACGCACATGCCAAACTACAGTGTAAAAGCGAGAAACAGTTGTTAAATTAGGTGACCAGTTTAGTATGATAGAAAGCGTGTAACATTCTGTAAAGTACCACAATAGACAGAGTGGGGGGGTCAATACCAAATATACGTGATTCCGGCATTTCATAATAATTGTTTTCTATTAATAATTGCACTTTCAAATAATATTCATGAGATATGTCTACGTCACAACATCGTTGGAGGTTATTGGCATATTGTACGCAGTGCGCATACTTCGGTCCCTTTTTCCGTCTTCCACAACCAGGCGTCAACACGCAATTTACGTTTTATGTAAGTGACGTTCAGAACCGCCAATGAGGTTTGTCAAACAAACCTCATTGATGGTGCTGAACGTTGTGTTTGTATTCGAAGCCCACACATCAGCGACGCTACCAGACATATATACAAGCTAACAAGCCACACCAACCCAGCGACTGCTCAGATAGCAAGAGATTTGTTCACACTCCCACCATGTTATATTCTGTAATATGCAATTACAATTATGATTCCACAATAACACTGGATGGGAATGAGAGTGAGACTATATGTATTTCTGAGAAGTCAATTGCGCTGTAAGTGAACTCTCGACTTAAGGTTTCTATATCGTCGGACACTCAAATGTAGGGTAGTCAGTGCATCGAAATACTCCTCGAGACGAGTGAAGAATGTTCTACGACTTTACTTTCTGTATTTGCGACTTGAGAAACGAATTTAATAGTAACATATTTTCACATCTCTGGTTGCACTAATGAGAATATTACAACAACTCCAGATTGTCGAGAAAAAATAAAAATGAATATCATAAAAAACATACCAAGTGAACATGAAAGTACTTTGTGTTTCAAACACAGTGACAATGAGACAAATACTAGTGCTTGATCGTTTTTGGATTGCACAAATTTTATTTATAATTAATTGAGGCTATACTCCAAATTCCAGTTAAATTTGAAGGAATCAAAATTGGCGTCACATGTAACTACTAAAGTTTGTAGTCGTGAAACTGTCGGCTCGTATCTTCTACATCCAACTAATTGCAACAATGTCACCCCTAAAAGTACATGAAAATATTATTTCCTGATTAAATTATTTGAAATCGTTCTTGGGGAGACATTTACCTGCGATTTATACATTTGTCTCGGTGATATTTTAACTAAAATT